CTTATATTTATTGAATCTGTTTTTTTTTATAAAATGTTTTATTATTATCATATATAATATAAATTATTTAATTATTTTTTATTTTTTTATGAGTAATTTAATTTGTTCTAGTTATTTTTGTACGAGAAAAATACTATCACGGGTATACGTTTTATAACGAATTAAATATATTTATGTTCAAAAATTATATTTGACCTTTAATTTTAATTTTGTATTTTATTAAAATTAATAATTAACATATATACTTAATTGCGAATTATATGGATGAACAAAATCTCTATTATGTGTGTAAGAGATTTCGGAACTCTTTGCTAAAATAATTAAAATTAAAAGTCAAATATAATTTTTGAACACTTTTATATTATTAAAAATATATAATTCGACTCTCGAAATATATTAATTCATTATAAAACGTATACGTATTAGTATTTTTCACATATTAAAATGATTAGAATAAATTAAATTAATTATTAAAAAACTAAAAATTAATTAAACGACTTAGACTTAGATGATAATAATAATGAAACATTTATTAAAAAATAATTATAATAGGTCAGGTTAATATTTTATTTATTTATTTATTTATAACATCATAAAATTCTGTCCTTTCCGAAATACGCGAACGCTACGAAAAGATAAATCTCGTACATGCCGCCGGACGAGTTCATGAGCATGAGACGCTCTTATCTTGGGAACGTATTAATAGTTACTGCATTGACCACTACTACGATATGGCGCTGAAATCAGTGAGAAATGCTGGTCTCTCCTTCATCCAGACCTTTGGCGATCTGTCTATTAATCTGTGGTGGAGACATCTACCGAGGAACTGATTCAACTATTTTTAGTTAGAGTATAAATGTGACAGATGTCGTGATTGTTTTTTTTTTTTATTATTTTTCTTGTTTCTATAATTATAGTTTTATATAGAGAGAACATTACTAAAATATATATCTAGAAAATATTATTCTAGATTGATCTTTTAATTATATTTATTTTATTATTAATTGCAAAATTGCCTTCTTTTAATAAAAATCTCCTTTTTGAATATCTTATTTTACAGGGGAAAAAAATTACGTAACAACACGTATATCGTATAACCACAGATTAATAGACAGATCGCCAAAGGCCTGCCTAAAGAAGAGACCGCCATCTTCGTGCGATAGACTTTGCCCCTTACCGACACACTTTGCCCCTGGTTCGAGTCCGTGCTAAATTTCGTAGACTTGAACCAAAAGACTTTGCCCCTGGTTCGAGTCCGTGCTAAATTTCGTAGACTCGACCAAAAGACTTTGCCCCTGGTGCAAGTCCAGGCTAAATTCGTTTGACATTACCAACAGACTTTGCCCCTGGTGCGAATCCAGGCTAATTGATCATGAGACCAATTTGAGAGATTTGGCCCCCGTTGTGTGTGTGTGTGTGTGTGTGTGTGTGAGAGAGAGAGAGAGAGAGAGAGAGAATATTTTACATATATGCATATATATATATAAAATTTATTAAATATAAAAAATATATTTTTTACACATAAAATGTTTTTTTATTGAAATAATCACGATTTTAAATGTGATATAACACAGTGTTCAAAAATTTTTTAATTAAATTTTTTAATTAAATTTTATTAAAGAAAATTACTTGAAATTTTTTACATTAAGAATTTAAAGGCTCCTTATTCTCTTGTAGAAATTTATCACTACGCCAATTAATCACTTATTTTGAGTATTTAAAATACTATAATATACAGTAATTTAAGTATTCGAAATAAAAGTGATTAATTACTCGAAATAAGTGATAAATTGGCGTTACTAGTAATAAATTTCTATAAGGGTTGAAATAAAGTATAAGAGATAAATAGGCTATATGTGAGCCGTATGCGAAATGTGAGATGTAAGACGCATATTGAAATTTAATTTTTCGATATAACTTTCAAAAATGTACACGAGGTACAAAAAATTAGCTTGGACATTTGTAAGACTTAAAATTGGGATTAATTCTCAATTCTATTAATTAAATTTCGATATAACACACCTTACATCCGCGCACGGCTCACATATAGCCCATTTATTAGTGCAATTTTTAAGTTCCTTATTTTTCAAAGTTCACCTTTTTACGTTATCAAATATTTTTGGTACGTTTTCAAGAATTTTATATTTTTACTTACCGCAGTTTCTTATCCAAATGTAAAATCTTTTATCGCAGTCTATAAAAAATTGAAACAATTTACAATTTTATGATATAATATTATTATTATTACAATTTCTATATATATGCACATCTGTCAAATATCGTGATTTATTTCACATTATTATTATCTATTTTAATAAAAAAAAAAAAAAACACTTGCAACAATCAAAAATAAACCGCCTGCCGCGAACGGAAAATGCCAAGAAAGCACGCAATTTCCGCGAATCTCGTAATTTTTTTGAAAAATCAACAATTTCAACGAAATTGTAAATTCTTCAAATCACTGCACAAGTATAATTCACAATAATAATTTTCAGTAACTACGATAAAAAATCGTATACTGAAAACCGCAAACGAAAGTGCAATGGGAGTAAGAGTAAAGTCTGTGATAAAATTAATTGGCAATAGAAAATTAATAATTTTCAAATAGAAAAATTTTGAAATTACCGAGGATTTACAAATAATAAAGTAAAAATATTAAATAATTTATGTTTTCGAATTTTGCTCGCGGAGAGGATCTTTAAAACAAGATTTTTAGAAGAGAGGACCTTTAAAATATAAACAGGCAAAAACGTTGGAAAAATTAAAGCGCGCGTTTAAACAGATAAACGCAATGAAATAGATACGCAATTGTTTTTACTTATCGCTGTAAGCTCACAAGCTTCTGACGTGCTATACACTTTTATATAATATATACAGGGTGTCCGGTAACTAACGGACCAATGATTAAGGGCGGATTCTCTGGCCAATTTGGAGACGATTTTTCCTTAGCAAAAATGTTGAGAAGTCAATAATTTTCGAGTTATAAGCGATTGAAAAAAATAGGTTTTTTGAAAACTAAACGTTTTGGAGTTAAAAGTCTAACATAATTACATTCTTCAGTTAATTTCAGGTAGAGTTTACTATAATAAAATTTTAATTTAAGGCTTAGTTATAAAGATACATAATGACAAAGATTGGAAAGTTGTAAAAAATGATGACCTTTTTCGACATTTTCGCTGAGGAAAAATCGTTCCCAAATTGACCAAAGAATCCATTTGTAATCATTGGTCTGTTAGTTACCGGACACCCTGTATATTGGACACGAGTTTCGTTTGTTTCAGATTCTCGAGAGTTGAAGTAGGAACATACGAGTATCATATATCGTTTGTGACTTGCCGAATGAAAGCAAGACAGAGAGCGAACGAGATGATGAGCTTAATAGCTCATAATGTTATAAATAAATAAATAAAAAATTATAACCTGACCTACTAGTTATTGAATCTTTTTTTAATAAAATGTTTCATTATTATTATCATCTAAGTCTAAGTCGTTTAATTACTTTTTAGTTTTTTAATAATTAATTTAATTTATTCTAGTCATTTTTATATGAGAAAAATAATATCACGTTTTATAATGAATTAATATATTTCGGGAACCGAATTATATATTCTTAATAATATAAAAGTGTTTAAAAATTATATTTGACTTTTAATTTTAATTATTTTTTAGCAAAGAGTTCCGAAATCTCTTACACACATAATGGGGATTTTTTTCATCCATATAATTCGCAATTTAGTATATATGTTAATTATTAATTTTAATAAAATAAAAATTAAAATTAAAGGTCAAATATAATTTTTAAACACAAATATATTAAATTAATTATAAAACGTATACCCATGATAGTATTTTTCTCGTACAAAAATAATTAGAGTAAATTAAATTAATCATAAAAGATTAAAAATTAATTAAAGAATTTAAACTTATATTTTATATAATAATAATAAAACATTTTATTACGTCAAACCGTCGTGAAATAATTAAATAAAATTTGCTAGTTACGTCAAAGTCAAGTTTTCTAAGCTTATAAAACATTTTATTAAAAAACAGATTCAATAAATATAAGTACATGTTATATATATACTTATATTTATTGAATCTGTTTTTTTTATAAAATGTTTTATTATTATCATATAAAATATAAATTATTTAATTATTTTTTTATTTTTTTATGAGTAATTTAATTTATTCTAGTTATTTTTGTACGAGAAAAATACTATCACGGGTATACGTTTTATAACGAATTAAATATATTTATGTTCAAAAATTATATTTGACCTTTAATTTTAATTTTGTATTTTATTAAAATTAATAATTAACATATATACTTAATTGCGAATTATATGGATGAACAAAATTCCTATTATGTGTGTAAGAGATTTCGGAACTCTTTGCTAAAATAATTAAAATTAAAAGTCAAATATAATTTTTGAACACTTTTATATTATTAAAAATATATAATTCGACTCTCGAAATATATTAATTCATTATAAAACGTATACGTATTAGTATTTTTCACATATTAAAATGATTAGAATAAATTAAATTAATTATTAAAAAACTAAAAATTAATTAAACGACTTAGACTTAGATGATAATAATAATGAAACATTTATTAAAAAATAATTATAATAGGTCAGGTTAATATTTTATTTATTTATTTATTTATTTATTTATAACATCATAAAATTCTGTCCTTTCCGAAATACGCGAACGCTACGAAAAGATAAATCTCGTACATGCCGCCGGACGAGTTCATGAGCATGAGACGCTCTTATCTTGGGAACGTATTAATAGTTACTGCATTGACCACTACTACGATATGGCGCTGAAATCAGTGAGAAATGCTGGTCTCTCCTTCATCCAGACCTTTGGCGATCTGTCTATTAATCTGTGGTATAACCAAATTAATACTTGAGACAAAAAAAAATGCCACGTGTTCGTGATTGAAAAAAAAAAAATTTGATGGGAGAAATAAACAAATAGAAGATATGTCTCACCGATGTTCCGTCTCGCATTTCCTTCCGTTTTCTGGAGCTTTCGTGAAATTTCGACGGACTCCATTCGCGAAAAATCTCGGAGCACATTACCAGTAGCGCTGCTCCGATGCGCGGCATTGCTCTCAAATAACGACGCTGGTGGCAGCACTGCTGCGAACGCTAATTTGCGTTGAACACGACACGTATATTTCGGTGTACATATACGTGGTGTGCGGCCGAGAACTGCGTAAATCTGTACGTACACGACGATAAATAGGTATTTCGTGCGGCGACGACGACGACGACGAGGAGGAGCGACGAGTCTCCGGGAGCCCTGTTTTTTTTTCACAGAAAAGGTACGTTCGCTCTCTCTCTCTCCCCCCTCGAGTGAAGCATCTCCGGTTCTCAATTTCTCCCCTCGCTCGCGGGGCCAGGCCCAGCCGTTCGTCCGCCGTAAAAATAGGGGAATAAACAATCGGGGGACGCGTCCCCTTCGAGCGAGCGCGAATTCGCGGCCGACCCGATACGCGAGTCGCAAAGATGGTCGCCCTCATCTGTCAAGCGACGACGACGACGACGACGATCTCGTATGCGCCGTCCGTTTTTTCCGATATGCGCCGTTAGAGAGAGAGAGAGAGAGAGAGAGAGAGAAAGAGAAATAGAGAAACCGGGGGTCGTTTCCAAATTTCAAGTAAATCATAAGAAATTCAGGCCTCGATCGGGGCAGATCGGATTCCCATATGCGCGAGATTCGTGTCACTCCGAGACGCGGACGTCTCGTTTGTTGACTCTTTATTCTCTTTCTCCCTCTCGGCTCCGCGTCTGGCTTCTCAAGGTTGCGCGTTTCGTTCCGTTTCGGACACCGCCTCGAAAGAGGAAACTCTCCGGCCCCGGACGGCGCGCGCAAAATCAACGAAGGTTCGTTCAATTCGCCCCGGGGGGGTATTGTGTTTACAAGCCTTCGAATTCCGCGATTCGTCGAAGATAATGATAGAGAACTCTGTTTATTCCAAATTGTTTGTTTGTTTGTTGAACGTTGTACCTCTCCTCTCCCCGGTATCTTTTTGCGATTACTCCGATTATTTCTCAATGCGAATGACAGAAAGAGAGAAAGCATACATTATTTTTTATTATGTAAAGAATCGATTATGTATGTATATACATATATATATATATATATATATTTAATATAATATAATTTAATAATATATATAAATATATACATATATAAAAATGTATATATATATATAATTATATGGAATCGACATTGAATTGAGTTAACATTGCTTTCTCGACATATGATACAAATCACTTGTGTTCGATGCATATTGATAGAGAGAATTTGCAGGTGAACGTTCAGTATATTGTTCAACATTCTGGCTATGAAAATGAAGATTCCGAATAGTGGATCTGGAAACGGTTATTACGGGCACGAAACAGGTATTACTTCTTACATGGATAACAACAGCGATACGGAGCCTGAGGTGCAAGGAATAAGCGATGATGATTTCTCGGAATATATGTGGATGGAGAATGAGGAGGAATTTGACAAACAGGTACTGTCTCTTCTCTTTCTTTGTAAATATACAATTTTTATAAATTATACATACATATATATATATATATATATATATATAATTGCTCAAAATTATATCATGTATATATATATATTCTACATGAAATTTCTCACATAGATACTCTAATTATATATATAGTTGGAGTATATATGTGCAAGAAAATTTCACATAGAATATATATATATATATATATATATATATATAATATTCAAATATACAGTATACATTTTATGAAACTCCTTTTAACATATAGGTATTGCAACAATTAGAAGAGGAAGAATTGATGGAGGAGTGTCTAGAAGCAATGTTGGAAGAAGAGAGGCAACATCAGAGGAATATGAATTCCACAGCTTGGTCTACTGCTACTGGCACTTCCGACAATAACGCTGCTGAGCTTTGTCAACAGCTTAGCAATCTGAGAATGCCCGATGATCTCGCTAAACAGGTAATATAAGCAAAGTATTTCCTTTCTTCAATGTCTTTTAACATGAAAAAAAAAGATAGAAATCTTTACCAGTTATTATTATAATATCAACGTGCTTCTCTCTAATGGAATTTCTAGAGTACGCTAAATCCAGATGCAGCTGAATTTATTCCAGCACGTAAATCAACTGTGGTACCTGTAAGTACATCGTCAGAAACCGCAGTCACCACAGAACCGTCGTAGAAATTTTGTGTATCTTTTTTCTCGTCCCTCCCTGTTTAAGTCACGTAAAATCGGGCTACACGTAATATTTAGAATTTACTATTTCTAATCCGAGACAGTCATATTAAGTGAATCGTTAGAAGTTCAATGACTGTGACTGTACGTACAAAGAAAGATAAAGAGAGATAAAGAGCGCGAACTGTACAGCATGGTGTGTAATGTGCGTCATCCAAACGTAATGCTAGTTACGTAACCCCCGGGTGAAATGAATACTTAAATGCATTACCAAAATTTTTATAGACGAAAAATATCAAACGTGATATTGCATGGAATAATTATGTATATGTTTTTTGCCGAAAAATATTAACGAACGATCATGTATACAAATCACTTGTTAAAAAAATTTGCAATTTATATCTCTTGTTCAATGCCGTCTACATTGAGAACAAGTTTTTGCGGAGGCAGATATTTTTAGCCTTTTTTAATTTATATAAATTACAATTATTGCATCTATACGGAAATAACTTATTATTTACACACACACACATTGAAAAAACAGAAGGTATAGAACGCACGAATTATTTAGAAAGAAGAAAGTCTCATAAGTTTCTAAAGTAATGTACATACAAGCAGGAACATACACACATATTGTTTTGTAAATTATGTTCATAACTTATGTATATGTATGTCTCAATCAGATCCCATCATCCTCTGGAGAGTAAACCTTTTTATCTTTTTCAAGCTGTAAAACATAAGTGTAAAGCTTTTTACAGTCTAAGAAAAAGTGTTTTACAGCTTGGTATCCATCTGCCCAATGAAAACTTTCCTTAAGAGTTCCTTTTGTAATACTTATAGCAGAGAGAATGAAATATTTATAGCAGGAATCATTAGTCAGGATATATTATACCATCATGTATTAAATATATCATGTGTTAACAATTATTTCACTTCCAATAGATGAATCGACACAATTGCAAACGTATAATCGGAAAATCGGAATTATAATTTGTACAATATATCATATATGTTTTGCTTAGAAATCTGCATTAGGAAAATTATATCCAAATACTATCACATTGAGTCCTGCTTCAGCATTCATTTAACAAACTTAAAGATCTCAAGTGAAAGTCTTACTTAGGCTGTGAGGGACTCTTTATGACTCTTTTTAGTGACACTGAGAATCAGGATATTGTTTACTTATTTTTTAAATCATTTTCCATGAGATACTTCGAAATTTTAGGAGATTGTAGGTTGTAGAGTGTAATCTTGATGAAAATAGAGTAAATGGTGAATGTACTTCAAATCGGCTTGAATAGCAAGAAGATTGATTTGACTTTTTTGCTATAGTATAATATATATTTATACATATATACTCATTATTTACAAAAGTGGATATCACATCACATATTTGTACAATATTTGATACTTCCTCCCTATCTCTTGTGATTTCTTACGAACAACACGTTTTACTTGAAATAACTTCTAAATCACATCATCCCATTTTCTTTAAAATTTGAATATATTTAATTATATCATTTGTAAATTTAAAATCAAACTTTTTGCAATTCTAAGATTATAATAGCAATTAAAACGCATTCGTGCTTACTTACTTGGTGATATCTGCCATTCTTTTTATTGATTATAAATAAGTGTCCGAATTTTTAATAAGATCTATATATTGAGATATCTATATATTATGTGTTGCGTTCTATATACTTTATACGTGGTAAATATATGCACATTGTTTTAGTCAATCTGGTTTAGTATAAACGTAGAAACTGTGATTATAAAAAAAGAAAAAAAGCAGCGCGTTACTAAGTTTACCGAATATTATTCATATATATGAGACACATTACATTAGGCTTTTACAATCCACTTTGGAATCCCTTCCCTTTCCTATCGTTTATTTTATATAAGAGATACGATATTACTAAGCTTATAATATATACGCCCAGTTACAGACTTAATTGTCAGAAGAATAAAAATTAAAAAAAAACGACAATGCGCGACTCTAGGAATAATCGGATATTTTACGTTTAACAAATTGAAGGTAACACAAGGAGATTACGATATTTGCGATTTTGCTCTAAAGGAAAAAAAGAATCAAATCAATACGAGTCTAAAGCAGAGACTGATTTCACGTCCATTCTTACGTCAGCTTTAATATCCGAATTAGATCATATATAACCGTCTTTTAATTATTACTTTACAACTGTTAATCTAGGCTCTGTGTAATATAGAAAAATTATTTGCAATACTATACTATGCTGCATAATACTGAGATATACCGTTGAATATACTGATATTGCTAAAAATATGAACTATTGTTCTACATTTAAGGATTTATTAATTTAAAAAAATCTAGTTTCTGCTATATGTATGGCTTAAAATTTCGTTTCTTAAAATTTCCAAAACAAATTGATCTTATCTAGAAAAAACGTATGCGAATAAAAATGCGATTTATTTACAGATTAAATAAATAAGTCAGTCGTTATGTGTGAAAAATATATATGTCATAAGTGTACCTATATATATATATACATATATATATAGCCCTCATCATTGTTAAAATTTAAAATTGTACAAATTAATTTTGTCTTAACATTTTCAAATAAAATACTTAACTCATTATATATATTAGAAATTGCATCACAATAGATTTCAGAATTAAAATGTGTAATTGCTTATAAAAAAGCAATATACATAAATATCGCATGATTTATTCGCATAATTTCTTTATATTTCTTATAATTAAACTTGTCTCGAATCTTTGATAAAATGATTACGCATCACTTTTTTTCAACTCACTTGCATATATTGGTATCTCTAACCAACATGTAATATTAAGAATATTAGGTTATTCTAGATTTAAGACAAATGTGCAGCTGTAATCTTCTCGTACACAGTATGAAACAGTACTACAATAAATGATAGTCATACATCATCGTAATAACTGATTATATGTATCTACAGTAATCAATGCAAAAACATTATATCTCGAATGTACTGTGAGTTTGATCATTTGCGTGTTTACGAGAATAACTGTATCTTTTTTTAGCATTATGTTAATCAAAAGAAAAAAAAAGTACAAAAGAAAAATGACAAAAATATAATTTTCACGTTAGGTCACATTTCCGGAAGAATGATATAATTATGTCATTCTCCGCGTTATTATACATTTATTATGTACACTTTGTGCAATGCAATGCATATTGGATTGTAAAATAGCTAGTATATATTAATTCAAAATAGAGATGATACATTACTTTTATATATACATATAAATATATATATATATATATACATATATATATATTATTTTAACTTATAATGTATTTTTTGTCACACTTCTAGCAATTTTTTGCATTTGTGGTTTTCCTCGTGTCTGCTCTTTATTTTTTTCTGTAGCATTTAATGTATAGCATAAAGCGAAATATAGCTACATGTATTAAAATGTAGAAAGTTTTATCCATTCTTTTCTATCCCACATTTTATAATAAGAAAACGGCATTTGAATAATATATGAATAATTTTATATGAAAAACATACATATGTTAAATAATAAATAGATCCTTATTATGAGAAAAGCATCACCTTATATTTGGCAGCATATCGATTACAGTATTTCAATCTTAAATGTAATTACAATATCATTAATACTTATCTCGATAATAAAAAATGAGGCAATGTCAATTTGTTACATAACATATTGACATCTATTTCGTGCCGTATAATCGATGGTTCGATTCATATAATTATAAAGAAATCTGCAATATATTATAATATAATAATATATGTATCAGAGTACTGAAATATAGTATGCTCTCTAAAAAATCGAAAGTAATAGAATTGTGTATTTAATGCATAGACAGATAATAAAAATCATATTGATAATAAAGAAATAATTTGATATAAAGAGTAAATATATAATCTTTACACTTTTTACCGTAAATATGAAGATTAAATTATAAATCCACAAATAATATCCGAGACCTCAATTTATCCTATTAGAATTAACGAAATAAAATATAAATTTATATGTATAAAAGGAAATATAATTGCATTAATAAAGAAATAAATAATTCATAAATTGTATTCTTATATTTATTCTTAGAATCTATAGAATTCTTATATTTACGTTATCCCTCCATCAACTCTTTTATAGACTTTTAAGGGAACCTACTTGAGAGAATGTAATCGTAATACTTGATATATCTTATTTTTAAGAGACCTTTGTATATTACAAAATACGAAAAACATTTCGTATGTATTTATAAATAGAAATAGGTATATATATATAAAGAATTATTCAATATATATAGAGCTGAATATATATTGCTCTCTGGTTTTCTTCTTTTGGCCTTTCATAGTAATTGAAATCTATATTGCAAATATTACATTATATTGAATACAATATAATTTTATATATATATATATATATATATATATATATATATATTAACACACATCAATCTTGATATATGTTCGATTATTATTAAAATAAAATTGGTAATAAAAAGAATATTATCGTTGCTACGAACTACTTAAATAAAAACTGTAATTCATTTTTTTTCACATATTCCTATTCATCATCAGTTGCTTGTATATAAAAATTAAAAATAATATTCGTGAATAACTATATAATATATTTACTTATATACAAGTTAATATAGTAAATACTTTATAATCTGCAGTCTCTTTATTTCGATACAATACTGTGTCAATCCATGAGTTTCATTGATCTCTCGTATAAACTCAATTTTTTACAAAAAGATAAAGATAATAGAATTTTTTATAAAAAGAAAAATTTACAAAAATAAATTTCTAATCTAAATGCTATTACGTCAAAGTATTGATTTTAAAAAATCTAAATAATATACATCGAATAAAAATGACCAATATATAGTTGTATAAAATAATATAAACCAATAAGAGATATATTTTTATTGTCGAAAAATAAGTTAGTATGCAGGAAGTATTAGGATTCTTGTAAGTTGTCGCCTGAAATATATGTCACTCTTACAGCTAGAAAATTGAATAGATAATATAAAGATTTTTCATTGTAGAAGTTAAAACTTTTAAATACAATCATACTGTACGGACTCGCAAACAAATATGATTTATAACACAAAATTCTTATTATCTTTAATTGTGCCCTGTAAGATTGAATATGATGATTGTGTATATGTATCTCAGCCTTTCTTAATTCGTACTACTGTAATTTTCCTCAGCCGCTAAAGCGGCTTCTCAACGTTGCATTGCTTATTTCTTGGGATTATGTATTATTCGCTTTTATTACGATTGTTTTCAATTAAAAACTAATAATTAACATACTTAAATTGTATATTCATGCATAACGTACCACGGAATGATCGACAACATTCTATATCATTTATATTTTAAACTTCATCGAAAATAAAATATCTTGGCCTTCTACTCTTGAAAGGTGATGCTGTATGTGTGTATATATATATGTACACACACATATATATATATATATATATATATATAAATACATTACTTTCCATTTACTTACATTGGCAGAGCTTATACGCTCTCGGTAGGACTTTGAAATTCCGAAAGTGCATGTATAGGATTCTGTACCTTCTTTTGTGAACCTTTGCGCACTTTCGCTCTCACCTCTTCGGGTCTTTCGGGACGTACCAACGGTTTCTTCTCCGGAGCCTTCATCTTCCATATGACAATAGGAGACTAATTGGAAACACAAATAACAAATATGTATCGTTACATTATATTAAATATTAAAAAAAATATTATCTATATATTTTTATCATTCATTTTGTTCTTTCAGATTATATTAATGATTATATCAATTAAACGTTCAACATTATATTTTAATATATGTATTTACAAGAACAGCATAAATTAAATTAATAAACTTTTAAGTTTTTAATATTTAACACAGTACAATAATAATGTCAAATATAGTCTGTAACATTTGTGCATGAATGATTTATTATGTTATATATAGAATATAAAATAACATGTACTTACATACTGAAAGTCCACAATGTTAGTGTACAAAGATAAAAAAAACATTATAAAATAATACAATGAATAACTATAGTATTTTATAATTTTATGATATTAAGACAGATATTATTAAACTTTTTTATTATTGTGTAATATTTTAATACATCTTTCAATGACTTTGTGAAGCATTTAATTTAAATCTCTATAATTGAGCAAGCTAATGAAAATTGAAAGAGGTATGATGATAAATTGTTTAATTTCAAATATGAGATTAATTGACTACAATAGCTGATAGCAATTAACAATATACTGAGACTTAATTGTGACTGAACTATTGTGGTTAAAACAGGATATCTATTCAAATTTTGTAAAAACAATTCCCTGAGAATTCCCTAATCTTTAATTTATTATAAGCGTCTTAAGTGTAATATTAATTATTTATTAAATAAATAAAGACTATTAATTTTTATTTAAATATTACTTATTAAAAAACTGAAGAATTTTTATAAAATTTTACTTAAAAACTTGATATTGAAATAGATCGTCAATAAAATTTTAATATAAACTTAAATATTGTAAAGATATGCTAGACATATGTTTTTAAGTGCTAAACAAGAGTAAAATTATCAAAAGGATAATTTATTTATAAAATTCTCTAAATCTCAAATTCCATAAGAATTCCCTGATTTTTCAAGATAAAACAAAATTCCTTGAGAATAGGTTTTAGAGTTTTCTCGGGAGTATAAAACACCCTGTTAAAAAATAATATATAAATGCGAATGAAACTTACTGTAACCGTGGATTGTCGTGGATATTTTGTAGACGCAACATAAGAAGCCTTCACCGTAAGCACAACAGCGTTCATCAAGTTTTTGGCAGCCTGTATGAGAGAGGTTGCGCTATCTAGGCCGGAGACGATCAATTCGCCGCTGATATTCTGCACATCTGCCTTCACCTTACTGGTAATATTCATCTGATGGCAATAGAGCGCTATGCGTTGCAAATATGCTAAGAGATCCTTCTTTGTGGAACTTTCCGGGCACTGATCGGCAATCTGTCTAGTCAGCTTGTCCAGTTTCGTGCCAGCTTCGGAGATTTTCTTCGCCGCATTTATGACGTCCATGGTCGTCTTCAGGGGACCTCGACCACGAGTAAAGTCCGTCATCTCCATCATAATCATGCACATGTGCTTAGCGAGAACGATGATGTCATTGCCGGCATCATCCCATTTCGCCACCTCTTTATCGAACTTGAGTTTCTCGCTCTTGAAATATTCGACCTGCTGCAAGATCTTTTGCTTATCCTCTTCTGGCATCTTTCTCATTGCCTCACGAGCAGTCGTGATGCCACTGATCTCTGGATACTCGTCCACACCATGCTCCCCGGTCTGAGCGCTAGACTTGCTACGTGTCTCCAGCGTGTAATGCTCGTCCAGTTCCACATCTTCAGGATCCAAATCCTCGTCCGCCTAAAAAATGACAAAATTAAAAATAACAAAGAAGAGAAGCCGCGGAAACTTTCTCTTTGCAAATCTCTTTACCCTGTTCATGAGCACAGCGCGCCTGATCTCGCGAACTCCGTCATATACCAGTCTAGATGCGTCGATGAAATCATTCTCGTCTACTTCTTGCGCTGGATTGCTACGTAGAGCATTCACCGCCTCCTCAACTCGTTGCTCAAAGTTGGGCATTACTTGTTTTCTGAGAACCTTCACCGCCTCAAGAACTCGCTTCGTATAAATGCATGGCTCGTAGTTGTCCATCTCAGCTTGCACGACGTTGCACACTCTGGCGGAACGGCCGAGTATTGCACCTGCATGTCTGTCTAGAGTATCTGCGTCACCTGGACGCACTTGCAACGCCAAGACGCACTTGTTGACGTCGTCCAGGATATGATTCTCGGAAACCGCCAGAAAATCGTCGATAGTAGTGATATCGTCTACGGCCTCCGTTAATACACGCATCTGAGTCTCCCATGCCTGACGGAATACTTTCATATTTTCCTTCGCGACATCGGTGTTTCGCGCAGCCCACACACGCGCAGCATTGATCACCTGTGGACACAGATTCTCTATCTGCGCCGCAGCGTAACGCACCATCTTTACGCCATCTTCGTTGTTGGACATACTGCATACCAGATTCGCAACCTGTTCAAAAGAAACGAATTTTAATTTTATTGTATCGAAAATATTTCAAGAAGCTAAATATCAAATAAATTTTTCCCCTATTATTTTAATATATATGAAAATTATTTTTTATATATATATATTATATATATATATATATATATATATATATATATATAATATTTTTTTTTTACCTCCACCAGTTTATTCGCATGTTCAGTGAAAATAAGCGCATACTCTTCCACTTCCTTGATCCAACCTTTTTCCGCTGCTTCATACAAAGCCTGTAACGGCGCGCTTGTTTCCAGAAAACTATCCGATACGTGATCCACCACAGCTTTGCGCAATTGTCTGCGAAGATCACGGGTCTTTCTGCACATGTGATCTATTGCTCTTTCTAAGCCTTCAGATTGTTCCTTGACGCCCATCTGTTAACATATATTCGTCGATTAATTTTATACAATCTCGATAAAATATTTTTGTACTTTACAGCTGTAAATGATTGATTGTTCAATATTCAACATCGTTATTGTTAATTTAATCCGTTCTGTATTACAGAAAAATATTAATGTATTATTGTAAAAAATATATATAATATTACTAAAATAATGTTATATATTAATTTAAATATCTAAAATATTAAATAATGATGATTAGGAGATTATGGTTTTAACAGCATATTTGTAGTAAGCAGTATTTACAAATTAAATATATACAAGGTATCTCAAAGATACATGCCAAGCCATTTTTTACTTACACATTTTTTGATAAATTCAAAATCAATATTTAACAAAAAAAAGTCAATTGATATTTTTTAAGTTATAAGCAATTAAAAATATAATTAAATGCTTTATATTAATATATAAAAAAATAAAACTTTAATCTCTACTTAATTTCAAAATATCCAAAATTGAACTCATTATTTGAAACAAATTTTCGTTAAGGAAAAAGTGATCCTAAAATTAATTTAAGTATTTACACACGAAAAGTGGCCTGATAAATCTAAAATATGATATATGTGTGTGTATATATATACATATATATTATTTAAAAATTGGTATATGTATATAATTATACAGTACACTAATTCTCTACAGTTATGCTAATCTATCGTTTCGTTCTTTGCATTTTGATTTTAGTCATCATTTTATAAAACTGTCAAGTGATATATATTAGTTATTTAATATTCATATATAAAAGTAAATTATATATGAGTGTTGGAAATTAGGAAACTAATTATTAAAACAGGTGAGCACACAGCTAATAATCTAATGATTAGTGCTGATTATTGTGTATAAAAAGTATGCGAAAGTATGATAGTGTGTGAGAAATCTAAGGTAACGTGTATATGTGTATTAAAAAACCCACAGAAAAAGTAATTGTTTAATTAATATGCAACAAAAATACAAAGAAAATGTAGGATTATTTCTCGCATATTTACCCGTTTCCCACCCCGAGCACGCTGTAACTGGCCATCACCAACAAAAACAAATCAATAGAATATTGTTTCAATAATTATAAAGAATAAATGCATATTTTATGAATAAATGACTATAGTGTGTAAAATTATATAATGTAAAACAAGAAATAAAATGTTTAAAATTGGAATAAACATATGTGTTCATAACATTAAATGTTATAAAATTCCAAATCACTGAATAAACACTTTATTTCAGAGAACAACACAACAAAGGTAAACTATTGTTTATATGTAATCGTGTTTATTTTATTATTCAAAAATTGTTTAATAATATGCAAAAATAAGAAATTATAGGGTGTCTATTCAAATTTTGTAAAAAAATTCCCTGATAAAAATAAAAATATAAAAAAAAAGATAAAAACATAAAACAAAAATAATTTATTATGAATGTCTCAGGAATATTAATATATTTTAAATTAATGATTTATTAAATAAATAAAGAAATACTAATTTATTTATTATCTATTAAAAATTTAAACAATTTAATTTATCAATCAAATTTAATATTGGACGCTAGTGGTAAAAATAAACTTGGCAAACTTGATTTCGACGTAACTAGCAATTTTATTTAATTCTTTCACGACGTTTCGACCATCTGGTTGTGGTTGGTCCTTATCAAGTAAAAATTCTATAACATAATATTACACAATCGTTTTTACCAATGTTGAAACATCCAAGAAACTATCTAAATGTTAAGTTAATAATATTAATATAAATTTTATAAACATACCCATTAATTAAACTGAGATTAACGCAACATCACACCGGTCTTATTTAAAATTAATAGTTAAAAGTTAAAAGAGGAACACGTCCCATCGCTATGATGTTTCGTCAACGACTAACTTTGAAACGCGACACTAAACAATCTTTATTATTTTGTCGTAAACATTTGTCAAATTCTCAGAAACGTCGTGAAAGAATTAAATAAAATTGCTAGTTACGTCGAAATCAAGTTTGCCAAATTTAATTTATATAAGATTTTGATACTAAAAATAGATTGTCGATAAAAATAATTACATAAAATTTTAATAAAAACTTAAATATTGCCAAGATATGCTAGAACACGTTTCTTAAATGCTAAATAAAATAAAATTAACAAAAAGATAATTTAAAAAAAATTTCCTGAATCGAATTCCATGAGAATTCTCTAATTTTTCAAGCTTGAACGAAATTTCCTGAAAATACCAGGTTTTCAAAGTTTTTCCCAGGAATATACACCCTGAATTGATTTTACTTAGGCTGATTATCATTATTCAAACGATTTACATTAATCTAACATTTTATTATTCAAAAAACCAAAATTCAAAAAAAATAATTAACTTAGCATCAAATTGTTCTCTAATCATGATGTTATAGTTGATATATTCGTATCTATTCGTATTTCCTAGTAAAAAAATCTATCCTCCTTTCACATTCCTTTGATATAATTCTGTTATTATTCGCACATTTCTTTTTTCGTTTTGTACAATTATAATCATCTTTACTCACGTTGTTCATGTATTCACTCAGGAGATCCTGAAGTGCTTGTCTGACCGCGTTACACTCAGCAACAATGCGCTCTCTACGTTCGTCCCTAGTGCACGATGAATCTGCCATCAATGCGGCTCCGCTGATAATACTTTCCAATCTCTCCTCAAGACTCGGTCGTGTACGGACCTCGTTGTACGCGAGCGGAGACATCACCATCCTCTCGTCAAAGTCATCCAACGCGGCGGCCAACTCGCCTGGACCTTCATAAGGATGCTGACTGTCCGGCGGAGTTTTCCCTTGAGCAACGTCGTTTATTGTATTTACGGCTTCGCACACCTGCTTCAACACGTAATCACGATTCGCCTTAGCCGCCGCAAGATCAGGATGCTGCACGAATACCTTCGACGCAGTGAGCAGCATGGTGGAATGTTTCTTTAGAACGGCTCGAGCAGCCGCCAAATCGTCTCTCAGCTGCGGATCCTTCAACTCATGCTGACGTTTGGCTGCTTGATGGATCAATTCAGCGGCATTTCTGCCAAATTCCTTGATATTCTGAATTAATTCACCCTGCGAGGAGGCGTTCTTCAACTTTTTCAGATCATCCTCTACCACATACAACGATTTCAAGAGCAAATGAACGTCCACCATGTCTGCTAGAATAAGCAAACGTGTCACCGCTGACAATAAATTCCTTGCGGCGCGCACCATATTACCACGTTTCAACGACGAACATGGATCCTCAGAAAATTCCCTGTACAAATGATTTAAATGAGCATGTAATATAGCAAAAGTATAACGTAATAATTCATATTTATAAATGTAATAAATGAACTGTTACATACCTAGCAGCAATGCTCATTGCTGCACCTGTTTTCCTGACTTCTTCCACAGCGCTTAACATTTCTGCTGTAATGTCTGGATTTTCATAAGCGATCTTTTCACCTTTTTCAATAAAATTGGTAGTTGCCTTTTCTACAGTTCCGACAAGCGCGCTAGCCCTCTTCGATTTTCCTTTCTTCTTCTTGCTGGGACCTTTTGTATTCACTAACGTGGTAACTTGAAGTACAAGTGGCTCTAACGTTTTCTCTACAGACATAGTCCGTATTTCCAAGTTTTTGGGATCCCATTTCAAAGTAATTGGCCCAAACTGATCAGACATCTTTATGATATCAATATTTATCCTACAATTACAAAAATATATCATTATTTCTATTTTGTTGCATGCATGCCTAAAGTATTTTAAAATGTTCTCAAAAATTTCTGATATGTAAATCATGCAATGTTTATAAATATAAAAATATTTTTGATTAATTAATGTTCAATATATAAAGATTCCTAAAATTGATTCTATTAATTATTAACAAAATAATAACAGTCACAGACAGAATGTTTCAGATTTTTTATACAAACACTAGTAGCTTTTATACATAAAAATTTTTAAAAATGTTATATAAATATAAGTTCCAAAATTCTTTATTAGTTATAGCAAAATTCGAACTTGTTATATCTTGAAAACACAAATATGAATCTTTAATTACTGTTAAGAAATCTTCGAGATATTCTTTAATAGAAGCCTTACATTCTCTACACAAACCATACATAAAATGAATATGTACTTGTCATTTAAAAAAAAAATTGATCTTTTAGGATAATATACTAAAAGATATTGCTTATTACTAATATTCAAAACTCAGTCAAGTTTTCATGATCACCTTTAAACTTAATCATTTTAAATAGTAAATATAACTAGAGGAAATAGATAAGATAGACATTATTGAACGACTCATCATTTATGTATGCAGTGTGTCACTTATCTAAGTATAGCAAGACTGTATTAATTTTTCATATAAATTTCTAACTTTTGTTACAAGTTTTTAATAAAGCAGTTTGAGACCTGTTTATAAAATACATTTTCTTTATTTTCTGCTCATAGAACATACTACTAAGGTATAGATGAAAAAATCAAAGATATCGTATAATAGATGCATTACTCTTCTTGACCCAAAAATATTGAATCACTTGCTCATGCATTTTTATAAGTCTTCTTTTCTTAATTATAATTATCTATCATAAATTTCACAATTTAAAAACGCAATCATCTTTATTTGATTTAATTCTAACAGGTATCATATATTCAGAATGAGACTAATATATATTCAGTTTTCCACTCAATTAAAACAAGTATTAGACACTTTTCAGATATTAATCTCTATTTTCATACACCCATACACCCATATTACTTAATAATCTTTCCACTTTCTTAAAATATTCGAAATATATTAAAATTAGAAAAGAGCAGACTCTATCGATTCTGCGACAATTCAGGATCATAAAATTACCGAATTGGAATAATTGTGCCAGCTGTCTGGTATGTCAAATAAACGTAAATATCGTCGACTGTATCCTCCTGCTGAATTTCTCAGCCAGCGCGTGTGAACGGGAAACTGAATCACTGCGACTGATAACAATACAATCTTATCGTTCTATTCTCGTCCGTGAAATTTCGCAATACATTTAACCTTGCAGATAAAAGGAGCGTTCTTTCGCACACGTATAGGGCGAGGAACTCAAGGAAGCGGCAGGCGACGAGAAGGTATCGCACAAGGACGAAGAAGGTGGAAGGGAGAATTCGAGGGAGGACGAGAATCCGGCCTACCTGCATCAAAATAGAAAGAGCTCTCGGCTGGCGCGATTTTTTCTCCCTCGTCGTCAACAACAGCCTCGTGCGAAACGTGACGATAATTGGCGAGAAATTGGCAACAATTAAACGAAACCCGATCGCGAGAACAGAGAGACCGAATTTTCCAACGATGTATCACCCCGTTGGCATCTCGCTTACGCCTCGAGTTTCTGACGTCATTATTTCCGCTTGAGAGACCGACGCGCATGCGCCCGCTCCCGCGAGTTGTCATTAGGCGAGGCCGGTTTTTCGCGCATGCGCGTTCAAGAGAGAGAGAAGGATCCGAGCGAGAGAGAAAGCGAAGAAGAGGGAGAAGAACGAACGGACCTATAATTTTCACGGGAAATTTTAGAACGGATCTACGGAATGTGCACGAACGTGCGAATCGGTGCGAAAAGGTGACCCGGAGCAACCTCGAGCGTTCGCGAACTGTCAAATTACGAGTGACAGGTGACAGATCCTCCGCTCCGCGAGATGACATAAATCACTCGTTTCTTAGACGAGCGTCGATAAGACACAACACGATGCTGCACGAATTTTGCATGAATTTTATTTCGTCGACGAAGGAGCTCGTCCGTTGAATAAATAATAATTCGTCGTATAAGACGGAAAAAAGAGAAACGATGCGAGAACGATCACCGGAAGAAATCTTCAAGCATCTCTTCATATCATTTTAAAAAAAACATGCGTTTCTCTCGTACAAGATACTCCTCGTATCTTACAATAATTTCACGTTGAAATTCATTCGCATATTTACATTGTTGATCGGCAACTGTGTGCAAAATTTAAGGGTTGAACTGTGGATTATTATTATCTTTGCACCTCTCCCTATTTTCACATTGTTCTAAGTGAATATATACTTAATATAGAAGTTTTTATGAAAAAATAACTCTTTCCAAAGAAAAGGATGCCATTAAAAAAAATATTAAAATAGAACAAGACACAATTCTTTGTTATGAGATTTTCTTTTCGTAAAGATTATATTCAGTATGGATAATATTTGGAAAAGTGTCAGATTTAAATACATCTTTGCTTGCATCCTGATCACCTTTGTCACATCGTGTATAATCAGCATATCTCCCATCAGCATTGGTTAGTTATTGAAAATATATAATTCAGAGTTAAGTTCAATATTTTTTTTTAAAACATTAAGAATTTATACGAGATTTTGTTTATTTCAGATGAATGCAAGTGTGATACAAATGCACAATCAGGTCAACATCTCAAACAACTGACCGATGAGATTAATGGACATAAAAAAGAATCTGAGCATCGATTAGCTCTACTGGTACCATTTAGAGATCGTTTTGAAGAACTGCTAATATTTGTACCACATATGCAGAAGTTTTTAGACAAGCAAAATATAGATTATCATATATTTGTGTTAAATCAGGTATTATATAATAATAATGTGCAAACAAATATTGAGAGTGTGGACAAAAACTCTTCTTAAGTTATTTTTATACATTGTATTTTCCAGATGGATAGATATAGATTCAATAGAGCATCTCTTATAAACGTAGGCTTTTTGGAAACAGAGAAAGCATTTGATTACATTGCAATGCATGATGTAGATCTCTTGCCTATGAATGATCAATTATCGTATGCATATCCAAGTAGAGGACCACATCACATATCATCACCAGATTTACATCCCCGGTATCATTACAATGCCTTTATTGGTGGCATCCTGCTCATTAAAAGGTGTATTTTAAATCCTGATAGTAGATATATTGAGAGATATTGAATATATAAACTTATTTAATACATATGTAATATGTAAATATATATGTGCTTTTATAGAGAGCATTTCATACAAGTAAATGGTATGTCCAATAAATATTGGGGATGGGGATTGGAAGATGATGAATTTTATCTTAGATTGAAAGAAGCTAGTCTAAGTCCCAGTCGTCCGCAAAATGTATCAACAGGAGTGCATAATACATTTCAGTAAGTATCATTTTATTGGAAGAATATTATCAAATGCTATATGTATTGTGAATTGTAAAATGAAACCGTCAATTGTTACATGGAACATATATTACAGGCATATACATGACAGAAGTCATAGAAAAAGAGATACAACAAAGTGTTACAATCAACGGGAAGTTACTAGAAAACGAGACCGACAGACTGGCTTGAATAATGTTTCATATAAAATACTGGATACAATTAAGATGACTATATCAGATATTCCTTTAACAGTGATCAACATCTCTCTGCTGTGTGATAAATCAAGTACACCTTGGTGTGAATGTGAGAAACTAGTCGCATCAAAGGATCAAGGGAGATCAAAAGAGAAAAAAAAAATCCTTAATAGTAAACTCGCCACTCGATTGTAATTATTTAGTAATTTAATTATAATTAAAATATTATAAAATGTATTCAAGCAACACATTCACAATTCTTCCAGCTATTATGTATTTGACTCATTGTTAGCTAAAAATAAAACACTTTCCTATAGGTTTTTTTCATTCATTACACTGTAATTCATACTCTTTGTAAAAAAATTCAGTTTATATTACACAAATGCAATTCATAATAGTTTAGATATAATATAAATCTATTAACTTGTTATTTTTAAAAAAATATTTGATAAAAGTTATTGCTAAAAATATTAATTTATTTGAATATAAACATTTTTATTTCCTAATTTATTTTATAATAATCTTTTCTATTTGTATATATTTTTAATAAATTAACATCTTTTGATATTTTGTAAATGGTGTTTCTTCATCTTACAATTCTGTATGCTTTTGCATGATTTTGGTTTCTAAATCCATATGAAGTTTTTGTACTGTTCTAACATGTTTTTTTATATGTTGTTCGTTGGTCGAATTATCTAAATCGTGAAGCTGCCCTTTTCGTGCTGCTTCCAAAGCTCCTTCAGTATGCAGATGTCGCAATTTAAGTAACCTTGATTCATAATGCAAAAGTTCCTCCTATAACAGATACATATTTATATTGATGTTAGTATTATAATTAACATGTGCATGTCAAATTTATTTATAATCTAACTTATGAAAAAAATGTTACACAATTCTTTAAAAAAAAACAGCAAAATTATGATTATTTAGCATTCAATTAATTATTGCTACAAATGTGTATATAATAACAAATTAACAAGAAAAAAAATTTGATTGCAATTATTGCTGTTATTATTATTATAATACCTTTAAAGATGCTAATTCTTCAGAAGAGAATTTTGCTTCCAATGCTATTTTCCACAGTCCTTGTACTTTTGGTTCTATAAAGTCTTTATGATTTGGTCCCTTTGCAGTAAGTCTGTCTAAGCGATCAAATCCATTTCTCAGTTCCAAATGTCTTTCTCTGAAATATAGAAATAATAATAAAAGAGCACAAGTCTATACATATAAAATATTCCATGTACCGAAGTAAATTTGTTTTTTCCATATGACTTAATTTCTTGTCTGGTACATTATTAGACAATTCCTCCTCTTCTTCTAACAGATTCCACTTGTCTGATTTAAGATGTAATGCATCTAAAAATATTAAATGTATGTATATATATATATATATGTAAATTGTAATAGAATAAATTATATAACAGAATAAATTATATCTATATAAAAAAACTAACTTTCAGCTTTTTCTGAATCTTTAGACTGTTCTTTCAATAAACTCAAGTATTCATTCACTTTTTCTTGATGATGTTGAAATTCTTGTTTTAAAGTCTCAAGCTCCTCATCTAAAATACAAAAATTATAATAATAAATATAAAGTTGTTTTTCCATTTTATATAAAATATACATACCAGTAAAACCAGCCATTTCAGCTTTAGCCCATAATTTGTTTAGTCTTATATCCTTAAACATATCTTTGGCAACATAATTACTACCATCATTCAGTGCTTTGTGTACTTTAAGTAATTTTGGATCTTCTGTTTCAGCAAAATGTTCCAGTAAATCATACGTGCTCATTATTCCTATAATAAAGATTATGTAAGATTAAAGTTCTGCGAAAGATAAAGCAAATAATAATAATAAAGTAACACAAAGTTACCAATGAGCTTCTTTCTTAAACGTGCTTCTTCCAAGCCCTCAGGATCTTTTCCATCGGATTTGAAGTGTTTGTAAGCTATTTCTTCTTTATCATGAATCTTCAAATCACTAAAGATTGATTGCAGTTTACTGTCTGTTAAACGCTAAAATGAAAAAAAATTTGTATGTATATATATTTTTTTAATTCTATTTCATTATAATCTGTAACTTACGTTTTTCGCTTTAACCCAAAGTATATTTAATTTTGCCATCCTAAATGGCTTATCCAAGTCCCTGAGAGAAATTGAAAACTGCGAAGAGTCTACATCTTTAGGTTTATTTGCCTCCATGGAGTATTTATTTTCTCCTACGCTAGTATGAATTGACAGCAGACCCAAGTTTATTAACAGAATGCATTGTGCGTTTAGAAGAATCATTTTTATATTTTACTGGAAATTAATCTGAAAAGATACGTGTCACGTCTTCACAGCTGATGCATAAGGAAAAAGTAAAATTTATTTACGCCGTGATCGTAGCATTAATATCACGTAACACGTCGTAATCAGGTTGGGCTATGTTTGGTTCTTCCATTTAAATTTCGTAAAACCGTCCGGTATATCATGTCGAATTCAAGGAATGTCAATTGAGATACAAAGATAATCCAATTAATTAAAATCGTGGAAGAAGGAAGAAGAATACAAAGATACGATTAAATTTGTGGATTTGAAATAATTTTCACAGAAAGATGCCTCCAAAGAAATTGAAGGTTGTGTTTGTATATGTAAATAGTATTTTTTTTTATTAAAGATTTCTTGTTTGATAAACCACTTAATAAGACGATCTAAAATATGACTATATAATGCAATTAAGGCAGATTACACATATATATAATTTTCTAATTTATATTGAATAAACTTTATTAAACAATGTTTTATTGTATAATAAGTTTATTATTTTTGTTTTGTTATGTAGGAAAGCATAATTTTCCTTGTAAATATCGGAATTATTCGTCATGGTAGTCAAAACAATTCACAATTGCTAGATAAAGCAAAGTTTATTCTTAAACATATTATTCAAAAGAAGGTATGTTTCTTTACATCGTACTATTATAATAATAGTTATATTCTTGTATCTATATGTAAATTTCTTTTTAATCATGAAAGTAATCTTGTCTAGATATTTTTACGTCCAAAGGATGAAGTAGGAGTAATATTAATGGGATCAGATAACAGTAGAAGCAACAGTGTCATAGAATTTGACAATATACAAGATTTATGTTCCATGCAAGTTGGAAACTGGAATTTGATAGAAAACATTGAGAAATTACAAACCACAAATCAGCATTGTTCTTGGATGGAAGCAATTTATGCTGCGGTTGAATATATTAACCATGAATGCTTGTAAGTATATCTAATAATATAAAATATTGATTGTTCGTAAATATATATCAAATTTATTGTTTGTAAATACATATCAAATTTATTTTTTTTATTTCAGAGACAAATCTGAAAAGAAAATAATCCTGCTGTCTGATTTCAATGAAGAAGAAGATGTTGTAAATCAGTTCAAAATGAAAGATATTGCAAAGACATTAAGTTCAGAGGATATTTCACTCATAGCAATGTACGTACATTAAATTAATTTTCTGATTTTGTAGCCGATTATTCTTAACAGTTAATAACAATCAGAAATTAAAATTAAAAAATGTATGATATATTGCAGCGGAGAAAGAGCACTGGATAATATAGATGAAGATTCTCAAACAGCCAGTGAAGCATTACTTATAAATGTTTTGCAAGAGGTAATTCAAGCAAATATACATAACACAATCTTGTATGAGATAAATAATATTTAATATAATATATAACATTTTGTAGATTAATGGTCAATATCTCACTTTTGAACATGCTATGGCAGATGTACGCTTTTATAAACGGCCATCGACTAAACCGATGCCATGGTGCTGTCACATGGAATTAGGCGATTTTCACATACCGATTGCTGGAATTTCTAAAGTAAAATCAACTTTATACATAAAATAATTAATCACAAAAATACACACATACATATATGTATTATAAAATATTTTTTATATAATATATATATATATATATATATATATATATATATATAAAATTCATATTTATATTACAAGATGCCAACAGAAGTAAAGTTACCAAAAATGATACTGATGGGAAAGACAAGTACATCCGATAATCCGGATCAGGAAGTACCGATTAAGAATGTCGCACAATGGACGGATAATAATAGGACTATTCATACACAAGAGGATATTATCCGTGGTTATGTGTACGGTGGCAAGTCTATTCCGGTTTCGGGTAATTTAAATTTTAATTTGTAGTATATTTTGCTCTTTTAATATAGATTTAAATGATTGATGAATATGACGATTGTAGATGAAGCTAAGAAGGGAATGACTCCCAAAACTAATGAAAAATGTTATAAGATACATGGTTTTTCCGCAAGAGAAAGCATTCGTATGGAATATTGGTTATCAGATGGCTCATATGTTATTGTACCTGCTAATGAGGTATAGATGGCAAAATTATTTCTGTCATTACATGTAATTATCATAAAATATCACTGATGTAATAATTTAAAAAATTAATAAAAAATTCTTTACAGTCGGTAAGTGCACCATTTTACAGTCTGGTGCAAGCCATGGTTGAAGAGAATGTAGTCGCTATAGTGGAGAAGGTCCACAGGGCAAACACTGAAGCAAACATGGTTGCATTATTTCCGAGCGTTGATGTACCAAATGAACCTTGGGTGAGAAATCTTTTCAGTGTCTTTTATTTTTTACTATTGCTATTTACTTTTGAATTATCAAGTAATAACATATTTCTTACAGTGTCTTATTGAGATCGGCTTGCCATTCGAGCGAGATTATGGTGCGATAGCACAGAGACCCTTGAATTTTGTGAAAAAGCAATTATCAAAGGAACAAGACAATGCTATCGACGACTTGTTAACTTCTTTAGAATTACCTGATGCGTAAATATATATTAAATATATATTTAAATTAAATACATATATTAAAATATATTCATTACATATACAGTTTGAGTTAAATATTTTATTTTATTAATATTTTATTTATATAGTTTAAATTAAATATATATTAAAATTAATAAATATGTATTTAATACATTTAATGTATTCAAATTATATATAATTTTATATATAATTATAATTTTAAATTTATATATATATATACATATATACATATATATATATATATATAAATCATAAAGTAATACTATTGAATTTTTCACAGTGTTGACGATGACGCAATTGATGTTAGCGAAAAATATTTACCGGGATATATGCCAGATCCTGGAGCGCAACATATGTGGGATATGCTATCAGCTCGTGCGCTAAATCCAGACAAGCCATTGCCACCTATTGCCGACGATGTAAAAAATCTTGTAGAGCAACCCGACTTTCTGAAAGAAAAATGTGGACCGGTTACAGAAAAGATAAAAAAATTGTTCTCCTTAGAAAAGAAGCAACCTCTTAATATTAGGAAGTGAGTATTCTTGATCAAAATTAAAATTTATACTCTGAATTCAATACGAGTTCAGCATGAATTATTGATAAATGTACATTTTACTTTCAGGCGTAAAAGCTCAAACGAAAGAGATAATGAACGATCTAATAACAGTGACGTAATAATACCAAAATCAGTTAAAACAGATGAAAAAAATATTTCAAAAGAAAATAATGATGAACCGAAGAATATGATTTCTTCTAATGAATGCAATTTTAACTTTGATGAAATTGTGAGTATATAAACTTTCATTTATATTTAATTGCAATTTTTAAATACATGCATATATATAGTCGAGTTTTATAAAATTATAAATATTATTACAGGGTGATATGTAAGAAACTGGCAGTATGTAATCTATATATGGTATTTGCATTTTTATAATTTATGCTTTTTTAATTGCGGCGTGGAAAACTTAGAGAGAGAAAGAGAGAGAAGCATAGTTTTATATTGAATTTAATTAAAATTTATTTTTTTTAAATGAAAATGTATACATGCGTATATGAATATATAATATATGTAATATATTTAATGAGAAATGTATACAATTAATTTTTCCAGAATAGTAATTTTAATTTTCGTTATATCTTGAGAGTGCCAAAAGTAACGATGACGTTATCATCGAATAAGGGAAACATGAAGACGCTTGTGCCCACATAACGCCCACCTTGTTCTCCTCAATTTACCAAAAATTTATTGATCTTAAACACTATTCCCTATATTTAAGGAATAATCGAATATGATTTACATATAAATTTAACATATATAAGATAGGCAATTATGATTTACATATTTATAAATATTATATATGTGTGTGTGTGTGTGTGTGTGTGTGTGTGTGTGTGTGTGTGTGTGTGTGTGTGTGTGTGCGTGCGTGCGTGCGTGCGTGTGTGTGTGTGTGTGTGAAATTGCAATTTTATTCGAGAAAATTAAATATTAACTAATTAATGTGTATAGTATATTTGCAGATAGGCTTTTGCAATGTACCGCCTTCATTCATTTAACTTTTCAATTATTCCATTGATTCGATTCACGAGGATAATGATTCGACGATTAATTCTATATTTATAAAAGGAAAGAGACGGTCAGTTGCTTGTGAAACGCGCTATTTCTCGTCAACGACTTTCACATTTGAGATACTCTATACTCAGCGATGGATCAAGGTATGTTAAGGCCCTAAACGTAACATTATCTGATATATTGTATAATATCGCCACATATACATTCAGATATTTTTATCTCACATTGAAAAATATCTTATTTTTAAATTATATACTCTATAACAAATTAGATATTTTTATCAACAAATTATAGATACTCTTATTAAAAATCTTAATAATTTGTACATTTAATAATGACAATAAATATTTTAAATTTTAAATTGTTACAATAATAATAGTATGAAATAATTCAAAATTTAATTAAAATATATATCAAAATATTTATATTTATTTATTATGATATTTCATTAATGATATATTCTTTTTGCTAGGTCTCCCTTCCTTTTATGCACAAGGCCCCGGATGTGGATCCATAGCGTACTATCCAACAAACGGTCCTCGAGCAGAGAGGACGCGGTGATTCAGTCGACGAGAAGACGTTGCGTCGTGAAGATCAACAGGTGCGAACGAACGTTCATCGTCGGAGAACAACCATGGGTAAGTCGAAGGAGACCTGGTTGACTCAGCTGATTTCTTTTGGACACCTACGCAATTCACATCCTAACGAAAGCTGATGGAATATTGGATAACAGGACATTACGACCCACGACGCGCTGTGCTGGAATTTTTTACTCATCTGTCGTGAAGAACCATCCTAGATTCTTCCTCGAGCACGCGTATGTGCATGTATGCCGTCATCATGTAAATTTTAACACTTTTCTTTGCGCTCGAATAATTTCACAACAATCCATTTTCATATATCAAATACATTAAAAATACATAAAGATGTTCAAGAGGAGATTTTGATTTTTTACAAATATTTGATTATCTTTTGAATATTTTTTTTCTAATATTATACATTTATATTTTCTGATTTAGGGTATAAATATCTGAAAAAAAATTATCGAACGATATCAATAACTTTCTCTCTTGGATACTAAAATACAGAAAAATGTAAAATTATTCGAAGTATAAGTCTTTATATTAAACATATAATTATATTTTATTTAATATATGTATATATAAAGATACTTATACTTTAGATATTGTATATTTTTTATACGATATTCTTGGATAATTAAATTTTGAATTATTACATATATTGTAACAATCAAACTTTTTAAAATATTTATTACTATTAAATATATAATAATTATTATTATTAAATATATATTTATTAATATATCCAGGAGAGGAAGTCAAAATGTGGCTCGGGGTAATTTCTCTTTGAGATATACATATACAATAATATCAGAATACAGAAAAAATACCTATCATACTTTATATTAATATTAAATAATGTAGTTTTTAGATGCTTCTAATCAATATTAATCTTTAATATCTTTATTTAATATTCATTACTTTGCTAAACATCTGAAATTAACAATGTGCACAGACGATAAAAAATATGACAAACTTGAAACATTTTATATGCAATTTAAATTATGCATCTCGAGCGCAACGAAAGTGAAAAGTAATGTAATGAAACTTTCTGCAAAATCAAGTCAAGCATGAGGAAATTGAAATATACCGGAAAAAATAAGAAATTCTGGGCCATTAAATTTAAATTATACAACTATTACAATCTATTTTGCTCCGTAAAATATCACGGATAAATCTCTCGTGATAAAAATGTCACGTTCGAATGCATCCCAATGTACGTTCGCAACATTTTGCAATCATGTGTATTTCATTTATCAAAATATCAGCAATATTTCTTTTTCGAATGAATGCTTATTGAAATAAGCAATATTTCTTTTTTTTAGAAATACGAGAATAATAAGCCTGCATTTTCTGACCCGTAAAGAGATTTATCTGACGATTCGGCGATGTGTGACGCGAAATTTATTTCAATGCACCGACCTGCAACTGACCAGGACACGCTGCATACACATATGCATGCTATTGCGTAAATAACGGGGAAAGTCTTGTAGAGCCACGTTAATGTCAAAAAGCCGAGACGCTTCGATTAATTTTGGGTCAGCGTGAAATAAGAGAAACCTTTCGTGACGCTTCGGAGTAGACTCCTGGCCGTTGACCATGAAAAAAAAACACGTGCAAACGCGCGATGCGAGAAGATATGCTCGAGACGGTAAACACTGACCTAGAAGTGAAAAGTGTGTGGAAACGCGCGTATGTTAATTGGCTTGCGAGAGGAAAAAAATAATGTACGTCACTCTTATCGAGGCTCGTAATCGTGTAATTATGCGACTAGAAGAAAAATTATCTAAATCTAGATCTTAATTAATGGAAATCTGAAGGTGATTGTAAATGAGGAGTTTTTTGCGAAAAGATGTAAGAATATCTCAGAAATAAGTTGCTTAATAAGGATGAATTATAAAATTATAAAATTCTCATTCAACTATTTGAACAATTTGCCAATCAAAAAAAATAAAAGAAATGATCGAATAATATATTTATTTAAAAATATAAATTAACGAATACAAAAAATGAAATCTTTATAAAGGAATTGTATACTTATTGTTAACACTATGTTCTTACATTTTTGCAATATACTTTGTTTTTTTAATGACAATGAATCGTAAGGTTTTACTTACGCAAACTCCGATCACTGTCTGCTCAATATTCCGGATCCTTTCTCTATATCTTTTTCCCTTTTTTTATTGGTGCACTATGTTGTGTAACTATAATTTTTCCACGTTGACTCACCTTTTTATTTTATTTGTTCGCAGGGAACATTTACGTCTGCAGCCTGCTCGTCGTATTCGCGGTAAGTAGCCGGACTTTCATTCGTTGCGAGACGCATGCACTTCTGAATGCATTTTCTTCAGCTTCCCGGAAGTCGATCGTTTTCTCCGCAAACGCACACATGTCATTAACGTGGGAGTTTTCTGTGCAGAAAGCTGAAACGTCAACGATTCGTTGGATAGGGAATCCGTGGTTAATTAGTCAAAATTGCACACATAAATAACGCTTACTAATTCTCGAAATAAGTGCGAGAAACTTCCTCTAGCGTAAAATTAAAACACATTCCTCTCCTTTCCATTGCAGCTAATTTTTAAACATATATAATAATTGCAACCATTTATCATTTTACACAGCGTCTCGTAAATAACATTGTAATGTTATAATTTTCCAAATTACACATCAAAAAAGGAAGTCTCGTCAGTCGTATACGATAATATTAAAAAGAAATTTTACTCATATTTATATTTTCAGGCGCTTCTCGTCGCGGTGCAATGCGGCGATATAATGCGCAAGAGCATCGTCTTCGACAAGAATACTCCGGATGTGTTTTACTGTCCGCAACACAAACCGATCGGCTTCGAGAAGATGCTGGTCAAGGCGAGACCGCTCTCTAGGCTTTGCCAGTTTGAAGGTCGCCCGATACCAGAAGATTACAAGAGTGATTGCTATAACGACGTGGACGAAACTGAGTACGCCTGCAAGGAGAAGTATAGAATTATGGTACGTGTTACATTTATATATTTCCCCGCAAAATCGCTGGATAAATTCACCGTTTGTATGATTTAAAGATACTAACACCGAGAACATATTATTAAAGATATCATTTAGAGAGAAATATTCCAAGTTTATACAAGATATATTATAAAAAGATTATTGCTCACCCCTGTTAAAAGTTTGCAAATTTATTTGATTTTTAATTAAATTGAAGTGTTATTAATTGCTTATATAGAATAAAACGCTTTAAGAGCTTGCACATGGCAATCAAGATTAATTATTAATAAGAAAATTAATCATGCTTAAGGAAAAAATAATTTGCTCGACCCGTGTCATCATTGTAACATCGTCGCATGTAACGAATTTGGTGTCGGTTTTTTCTCGTTACAGAAGCGATTCAGTAATCCGGATGGGGATGCAAAAGCCATTGACAACGACTACGACGAGAAATAGAAAAACGATGAGAATGATGTTGCACGACCGCGATCCACGCAAATCATTAAACTCAAATAAAATAAAAGCCACATTACTAATGTTCGGGGCTGCTGCATCATCGAGAGAAAGGACAGCTTTCAACATTTATTATAAAATAAACTTAATTTAGCAATAAATTTACATATAGTATAAAATAATATTTACCACGACATAGATAAATTCATTGTTGTTGTGTAAATCGATTATCCATTTCTTTATATTATATAATAATTAATATATATTATTTGTATTACATTTTTTGTTGTACACATATATGCTTCTAACGAGTATATCAATAATCAATAAATTATGCCACATGTAATACTCAAAATGAAGAAGTGGATAATAAAGAAATAATTAATATGTGAGCGAAATAAATGTATCACAAAATGACGAAAAACTATTCTAATTATAAATTTTTCTAGAAATTTATAAAAAATGATAAAGTCAATGTTCTACATTTGTCAAGCTTTTTTAAAGGAGGAATTAAAATTTGTATAACATATTAATAAAACTAATCGCATATAATGGATGAACTGGGCAAATTAATTTTTATAACATTAATAAAATTAACCACACAATGGATTAATTCTCTGATGAAAGTTAGTTAAAATATAGTTGTTTTCAAACATCTGAATTTAATTGTCAGTTATGTTTAGTGAAGCCATATTACAGAATTTATTCTGCAAGGTGATTTAATCGTAAAAATTATTCTAAAAGGAATTGATCGCATCTGACAATTCATAATAAAATCTATAAAAAAAAAAAAGATCAGAATAATCTCGTTATAATGGAAATCAAAGTTGTACAATTTTTCCGAATCTCCGAAAAAAATTGTTAATTATTTCCATGTCGTACGAAAATCACATATAAGTAAATAAAATATTTGCTAAATAGACATTGTGCTCTCTCTCTCTCTCTCTCTCTCTCTCTCTCTCTCTCTCTCTGTTATATTCATTGTTTTTTGTCTCAATATCAAGGAATGCATCGAAATAAGAATACGTGATGCATAATTCTAAATTATCATTCCACATCAATTATTTCTGCTAATATACATATATTATATTGTGATTAATGAACGACCTTTGTTTTAGACGAGACTTCATCCACCGGGTAGCGACACGCCTTATAACGGGACACGCCTATTCAAGTTCTTAGCCTTCAATAAAGATTTACCGTATGCGCAAAAGAATAAGGTGTAGAGAACAGCGGCCGTACCGTTTCAAGGACGATAAAATGTTAATGAATGTGATTAAAAATATTAGCGCCGGAACATTTGCTGCATTATAAATTTTAATGTTTATATATTATTTATATATTATATATATATATTTGTTTTTACTTATTCATGAGATGCTTTTATTGTATTTAATAATTTTAACAAGTTTTACTAATAAAACTATATATATATATATGTGTGCTATTACGTATAAACATATTTTTTATTCAAGTGAGAAAACAAAATTGAAAATAAATTATTTTATAAAAACTATCAAGTATTTGACTATAATCTTAATTATGTATAATGGGTGCGTTCCGTTATGCACTGCAAGTACTGACAGTACTACCAATAGCGTTCCGATATAGATAGCAGTGCACTGCGAAAGTACTATCATGAGTATATGACGTCATTAATTTTGACGTTATTTCCTGTTGCGATTACTGCAACCGGCGAGGTAAAGCACTCGCAGTAATCAAGATGGCTACCTCCATGTGTACGATGGAACTAACTTTTAAATTCCATATCTGAATATAATGATACAATATTTTTAACGTAATTTTTACATTTTATTCTAGGTATTTTAATTTGTCGTCTCATTTCATTTATTAATTCCATTTCCAAATCGCTTTCACTTGATGACTCACTCGAATATATATATTCTCGATTAAATTATATGTAATTAATGCAATAATGGTATTATCCATTTCACCAATTTTTCACTCGATGATTATTAGCGAAAAAGGTTAGTTAAAAGTCTGCTGAAAGCGTACTGTAGTGCGTTCCGTTTTACTATTTTGCAGTAGCTTCAAAGTGCACAAAATTAAAAAGGAACGCTGTCAACAGTACACTTGCATGACGTCATAGTGCCAGTACTTGCAGTGCATAACGGAACGCACCCAATGATAAAAGCACGAAATGGCGGGAAAGCAAGAGGCTACGCATGCGTATCAATCCAAGCACTTTTAGGGCGGATTCACACTGCATGCGATAGCGAACGTGCGATTCAATATCCAATAGAAGACCTTGTTTTCTAGTATTTTTATTTGTAATCTCAGGATCTAGAAATGGAAGGTTCTTATTAAAAGAGAGAGAGAGTGTGTTGTGTGTGTGAGTATAGTTGTTATAGATCACGTAAGATCACAGATTAATAGACAGATAGCCAAAGGCCTGCCTAAAGCATAGATTAATAGACAGATTGCCAAGGCCTGCCTAAAAAAAAGACTGCCATATTCGTGCGATAGACTTTGCCTCTGGTTCGAGTCCGTGCTAAATTTCGTAGACTTGACCAAAAAACTGCCCCTGTCGCCGGTCTCTCCTTCATCCAGACTTTTGGCGCGTGTCTATTAATCTGTGGTAAGATAAAGTAATCAATTTTTAAACTATGTAGATAACTCAAGCACACGCTTTGCGCACGCCAAAGAAACTTTTTCTTCGAAGGGTACATAATTTTAATTTGCTGAATTTCAATTATGTACATAACTTTAATTCTCGAATTTCTATTATATACATAATTTTAATTCGATGAATTTTTCACGAAGAGAGGTGCTATGCTATATTTGATTGGTTGAACGAGGTTTTAAGACGATCTTAAATATAAGAACGGATTATGAATACCGCCTTAAGTATCTATATATATTCACAGATTAATAGACAGATCGCCAAAGGCCTGCCTAAAGAAGAGACCGCCATCTTCGTGCGATAGACTTTGCCCCTTACCGACACACTTTGCCCCTGGTTCGAGTCCGTGCTAAATTTCGTAGACTTGAACCAAAAGACTTTGCCCCTGGTTCGAGTCCGTGCTAAATTTCGTAGACTCGACCAAAAGACTTTGCCCCTGGTGCAAGTCCAGGCTAAATTCGTTTGACATTACCAACAGACTTTGCCCCTGGTGCGAATCCAGGCTAATTGATCATGAGACCAATTTGAGAGATTTGGCCCCCGTTGTGTGTGTGTGTGTGTGTGTGTGTTGTGTGAGAGAGAGAGAGAGAATATTTTACATATATGCATATATATATATAAAATTTATTAAATATAAAAAATATATTTTTTACACATAAAATGTTTTTTTTTTGAAATAATCACGATTTTAAATGTGATATAACACAGTGTTCAAAAATTTTTTAATCAAATTTTTTAATTAAATTTTATTAAAGAAAATTACTTGAAATTTTTTACATTAAGAATTTAAAGGCTCCTTATTCTCTTGTAGAAATTTATCACTACGCCAATTAATCACTTATTTTGAGTATTTAAAATACTATAATATACAGTAATTTAAGTATTCGAAATAAAAGTGATTAATTACTCGAAATAAGTGATAAATTGGCGTTACTAGTAATAAATTTCTATAAGGGTTGAAATAAAGTATAAGAGATAAATAGGCTATATGTGAGCCGTATGCGAAATGTGAGATGTAAGACGCATATTGAAATTTAATTTTTCGATATAACTTTCAAAAATGTACACGAGGTACAAAAAATTAGCTTGGACATTTGTAAGACTTAAAATTGGGATTAATTCTCAATTCTATTAATTAAATTTCGATATAACACACCTTACATCCGCGCACGGCTCACATATATATAGCCCATTTATTAGTGCAATTTTTAAGTTCCTTATTTTTCAAAGTTCACCTTTTTACGTTATCAAATATTTTTACGTTTTCAAGAATTTTATATTTTTACTTACCGCAGTTTCTTATCCAATGTAAAATCTTTTATCGCAGTCTATAAAAAATTGAAACAATTTACAATTTTATGATATAATATTATTATTATTACAATTTTTATATATATGCACATCTGTCAAATATCGTGATTTATTTCACATTATTATTATCTATTTTAATAAAAAAAAACAAAAACACTTGCAACAATCAAAATAAACCGCCTGCCGCGAACGGAAAATGCCAAGAAAGCACGCAATTTCCGCGAATCTCGTAATTTTTTTGAAAAATCAACAATTTCAACGAAATTGTAAATTCTTCAAATCACTGCACAAGTATAATTCACAATAATAATTTTCAGTAACTACGATAAAAATCGTATACTGAAAACCGCAAACGAAAGTGCAATGGGAGTAAGAGTAAAGTCTGTGATAAATTAATTGGCAATAGAAAATTAATAATTTTCAAATAGAAAATTTTGAAATTACCGAGGATTTACAAATAATAAAGTAAAAATATTAAATAATTTATGTGACTTTGTATAGTGAACACATCAACTTGGCGGAATCTTGACTACTCATCAATTTAAGTAAGCAATTCTAAACACAATTAAGATCTTTCACATAAAAAAAATAACTTATTAATATAAATTAATATACCAAAAGAATAAAAATATACTTAGACAATCACGGTGAAATATACTGCAATGACGAACTTACTCGGAAATATCCTTGATGATGGGGACTAACTTTTTGATGCTGGATAACATCTAATTGTTTTCAATTCTCATATCAAGCGGTTCTGACGATAATTTTAACTAATAATGTTCAAAAGAATTGATGACGTGGAATGGGCCGTCAACCTGTTCTACTAACAACAGGGAACTCGTTTACATGTTTTTTGACATAATCAAAAAGTTTACCATCTTAACTAAAAAATGGTTAGCCGATTAGAAAAAATATCTAATTTAATAATGTTATAAGCGTAACCCAATTTAAATTTATCGACTTATTAAACCAAATGTTCATTAAAAAATAGACTCTAATGCGTAATATGTCATAATTTTTCTTAAGAGAATTTTTATTGTTTTTATATTTACTGAAGAAGGCTGAGGTAACAGCCGAAACGTTTTATTATTTTTATTATCATTGTATCTACTAAGAAATAAATCAATTATGTGTTGACATTACATCTCTCACTAATTTATATGCTCGTTATAGTTGGCCCTGTCTTTCTAAATCTTATTTTTAAATATCACACGAGCCTTGTCTTTAAATATCTAATTGTTTTCCTTATTAAATTTAAATAATTTATGTTTTCGAATTTTGCTCGCGGAGAGGATCTTTAAAACAAGATTTTTAGAAGAGAGGACCTTTAAAATATAAACAGGCAAAAACGTTGGAAAAATAAAGCGCGCGTTTAAACAGATAAACGCAATGAAATAAATACGCAATTGTTTTTACTTATCGCTGTAAGCTCACAAGCTTCTGACGTGCTATACAC